AACCTGAACTGGAGATTTCTTTAATCTCCTATATTAGGAGTAATTACCAGTGCATACAGAGATCACAGAAGCAATTATTCCTTCACTAAGCATATAAGTCATCTCTCTAGTAACTGTCATTACTGTGCAAATTCTGTAAGTGGTCTCTTGTGGCTATATGACTGTAAGATATTTCACATTTCAAAATATTACAAACATAAATAAAAAAAAAAAAAACAAATACATGAGAATTCTAATAAATGTCTTAAGTGAGACTGCTTCTAAGGCTAGGTTCACATCTATACAGGTTGCAATCTGTTTGACATGCGTTGCCCTTCCAGGTGCTCCTTGCTGCAAAGGCCAGTTATAGGTTAGGAGAGTTGCCATTTGTTTGTACTGTTGATATATTGGTGAGACACTGGACACTTTTGCTGCCATTGTGCTATATGCTGGGTGTCCAGTGCACCCTTGTGCCTTTAAGGAGGGGTGAGTTCCCTCCAGGCTTACTTGCCCTCAATCTATCCATTATTATATATGTGCTTGTACCATGGAGGCTCTCAAAGTTTATCAAGTTAAGAATGTTGCTGTGATGAGGCTCTGCAGCTTATACACGATGTATTTACAAATGTGTGCAAACTAAACCCCCGTTTTTAACGTCAACTGATTGACAGGATAATTCGATTGGTTGCAGGCTGGTTGGTAAGTTGAGCTTTGAATTTTTCTTTGTTGTTTATAGTCCAGAGTCACATGTTGGGGAAAGGTTTAAGGGATAGGGTTAAGGGATAGGGTTAAATGTTAGGGCTAAGAGCAAGGGTTAGGGCTAAATGTTAGGGTTAGGGTTAAGGGCTAGGGTTAGGGTTAGTGGTATATATTAGGGTTAGGGTTAAGGGCTAGGGTTAGTGGTATATATTAGGGTTAGGGTTAAGGGCTAGGGTTAGTGGTATATATTAGGGTTAGGGTTAAGCGCTAGGGTTAGTGGTATATATTAGGGTTAAAGGCTAGGGTTAGGGTTAGTGGTATATATTAGGGTTAGGGTTAAGGGCTAGGGTTAGTGGTATATATTAGGGTTAGGGTTAAGGGCTAGGGTTAGTGGTATATATTAGGGTTAAAGGTTAGGGTTAGTGGTATATATTAGGGTTAGGGTTAAGGGCTAGGGTTAGTGGTATATATTAGGGTTAAGGGCTAGGGTTAGGGTTAGTGGTATTTATTAGGGTTAGGGTTAAGGCCTAGGGTTAGTGGTATTTATTAGGTTAGGGTTAGGGGTTAAGGGCTAGGGTTAGGGTTAGTGGTATATATTAGGGTTAAGGGCTAGGGTTAGTGGTATATATTAAGGTTATTGGTATATATTAGGGTTAGGGTTAAGGGCTAGAGTTAGTGGTATATATTAGGGTTAACGGCTAGGGTTAGGATTATTGGTATATATTAGGGTTAAGGTTAAGGGCTAGGGTTAGGGTTAGTGGTATATGTGTTAGGGTTAGTGGTATACATTAGGGTTAGAGTTAAGGGCTAGGGTTAGGGTTAATGGTATATGTTATGGCAAGGGTTTGCGGTAATCATTAGGGTAGGGTTAGCTGTAATCATTAGAGTTAAGGTTAGCAGTAACTGTTTGGGTTAGTGTTAGCCTTTAACCCTAACTCTACCATTTAATCCTAACCCTAGTCCTTAATCCTAACCCTAACATCTGACTCTAACCCTAGTCCTTAACCCCCAGCCAGGGGCGGACTGACCATTTGGAAACTCAGGCACTGCCCAAGGGCCCGGGGTCAGCAGGGGGCCCCATGAGATGCCCCTGGTACCTTTTTCATAGGCTTTTTTGAATTTGGACAAGGACACAGGGGCCCCATGATCCCCTATTGCCGGGGCCCCATGAACTGTCAGTCCGCCCCTGCCCCCAGCCCTACCATTTAACCCTAATCCTAATATTTTACCCTAACCCTAGCACTTGACCCTAACATATAACTCTAACCCTAGCCCTTAACCCTAACATTTGACCCTAACTCTGGCCCTTAATCCTAACTTTTAACTTTTTAACTGTGGACAAATTATGGTTCCTGCACTACTTTGATGCTACTTTGATGCTAGTTGAGTGCCAGAGAGTGTATTGTCACAGCAAAGTTGCATCAAAATGAATGATTCTACATGAATAGAACTGTCATACTTTCCTAATAGGCAAAAAAAACCACAAAACACATTAAAAAAAACAGAACACTTGCGTTTTTGCTGTGGGTCCATTGAAGTCTATTACACACAAAATGCAAACTCCCTCACCCTTTCCAAAAAATGCACCAGCTTAAAACGCACAAATGTCAACTAGATCTATAGGAAACCATGTTAAATGGACCGTAGTGTATTTCTGCAAAATGCACTAAAAAAATGCATAAGTGTGAACCAAGGTAAAAATTGAAAATTCATTTTTTTAAAGTTGATCCTGGACAAACAAAATTATTTTCAAGAGAGGTATCTCTGTACATTTGTACACAGAATGCAACAATGCAAAAGCAAACATCTGAGTAAATCAAATATATTATAATTACATATTTTTAACCACTTGCCCCCCATCCTGACCAGGCCATTTTTTGCAATACCTCGCTGCTCTACTATAATTGACAATTACGCGGTCATGCAACTCTGCACCCAAATTAAACATATATTCTTTTTTCACACAAATATAGCTTTTTTTTAGTGGTGTTTGATCACCTCTGTGTTTTTTTTATTTTTTGTTCTATAAAGTGGGAAACCGGTTAATCCGGTTAAACAGATAGCAGCTGTTAAAATTGGCTTTATCTTCAGAAGCAGCACAGTGGCTAAATGGTTAGTACTTCTGCCAAGCAGCCCTTGGGTCATTGGTTTGAATCCCAACCACGATACTACCTACCTGGAGTTTGCATGTTCTCTCTGTGCCTGTGTGGGTTTACTCCCACACTCCAAAGACATGCTGGTAGGTTCACTGATTCTTGTCTAAATTTCCCTTAGTATGTATTAATGTGAGCTGGGGACTTTAGATTGTATGTACCTTGAGGGTTGGGGATTGATGTGAATATACAATATATATGTAAAGTGCTGTGTAAATTGACAGCCCTATATGAGGACCTATGATAAATAATAATAAATAGAAGTCTGCCCAGATACAATGACATTGTCCTTCCTTTCCTGACAGGATGGAATTCAAATTTTCTATTGAAGGACAGCTTGCTGTGCTATAATAAAAAAGATATTCCAGGAAATTACATGACATGATGTCATTGAATCTGGGAAGACTTAATCTACAATACTCCACATCTGACCTCCAGGAATAAAGTCGATTTTTACGTAATTTCACAGCTGCTGCCTGGGAACTGTGACACAGAGGATGCAATAAATATTTTCCACGTTGTGATGAATCCAATGTGCCTCACCCTATGCAGAGATTTTTCCAGCTCACAGGACAACAATCTAAGCACCAGCAAACTGAGAGTGACCTACACTGGGGAAGGTTAATTCCAATGTCAGCTTTTTACATGCACACCACCATTTGTTTTAATGGAAGCTCAAACTATTCACAGTGGAACTGCTGTTCTAATTTTGACCTTTGTCTGTATCACTCTCTGCCACACCCCAAAAGGAATGTAACAGAGTTTACAATACAGTGGTAATAAGGATGCTCATTTCCCAAAAACATCTCAACTGCTTCCAATGAAAAAGCTAATGGCTTCCAGTCAATGGCTTCCTTCAAAAGAAACTATAAACACAATACCTCTCAAATGGGCAGCAGGCCCAAACACCCCAGTCTTCCAGTGCTGCGGTCTTTAACATTCAACAGTTCCAGGTGTTTAAAATGCCTGCGTTCACCAACCTGCATTCCGTTTTCTGACCCTTCATAATTGCAAGACTCTGCAGTGACATAGGGACTACTGGGGAAAACCATAGCATGCAGTGGAGGATGCAGGCATTCACAAATTATGTAGGTGATGAATTCTGAAAGCTTTACTGAAGGCTGAAAGACAGAGGAGTCTTACCATCCATCAAAAGGGTAAATAATCATAATCTTCTATTGAAGTTTTTTTTGTGAGACACGACAAAGTTGCTTTAAAAATCTTGAACTATAATTCTTTCAACCTCACAAAAGAAGATATAAGCCCTGTACACATGATGAGAATATCAGACAATCCAGGTTTTTTTTTTTTGCATACTAGTCTTATATCAAAAGTGAAGAGGTTACTAAAGTTACAAAACTTCTTGTACTACAGAAAAAAAATTTGATCGATCAGGTATTGTTCGAGAAACATTTTCATGCTTGTCCCTTCAAATAATTTCGGACGAAAGCTGTGTACTAATGGTCAGATTATCATAAAATTGCTTCGAAAGCAGTATTTGTTTTTTAAGATTTTCTGATCATGTGTACTAGGCTTTATGGCTAAATTATGCTCAAACATAAAAAAATTAAATGGTAATATGGTCAGAATTATCATCTGTTATCAACATTTTCTTATCTTTTTTTATCAGAATGAAGTGTTTACCCATGTTGTAAAGCACTGCACAAACTGTTGGCGCTATAGAAATCCTGTATAACAATAATACCCATAGCAGTTCTGTGAATTTATTTTGAACCTGATGAACTACAAACATAATTTACAGATTTTCTTTAGTATCCCCATATCCCTACAGTTATTTACAGGTAATCCACTTGGTTTTGAAGAACACCTTGGTTTACTGTCAAAATGTCAGTTTTTACTAATGAAAAGGCTGATTTATGAGCCATAATGAACCCACCACTGGGAATTTCCTCATTTCTGACTGCATGATTGAGAGTGTTTGTTTAATTATTCTTAAAAGCTACTACATATGTCAACAGAAGGAGGCTCAATAAAACAGATATTAAAAAACCTCTAATTCTTAAAACAACACATTTTTAAGATAATCCTTCCTTCCTTTTCATACTGATGATGAGAAATCCACACAATCAGCAGATACACTATCTAGTGAATTCCAAATACAGCAGTCTGCAGTGCATGACACAGGTCCCTTTGCTATCTATGACACAGGAAATGTGAAAAATGACAATATCATTTCCTATAGCATATCTGCATAAAGAACTGAATATCACATCTGTCTCATGTCTAAGCCATGTGGTCCAAGAATAACTGTTATTTCCTCCAATTTATCAACTGTGAGCTAGCATGATGGGTTTATTGCAGATTATCTTTGCAGATTGTGGCATGCAAAACATAACTATAATTTTTTTTTAGAGTGCTTGTATTGTTGGGAAATTATTTATGCTGCACTAAAGCAGAGTACACACTAGAATTACAGGGGTTAGACAAAAAATGGAAACACTACATGATTTGTAGGTGTGAAAGTGATGACATGTTTCACGCTGAAAGCAGAAGTGATGTAAAATTCTTTTGCTTCTGCTGTGTGATGAGACACCTAGCTAACATGTGGGAAGCCTCACTTTCATCATTAACCACTTGCTGGGCACTCTCTCCCCCTTCCTGCCCAGGTAAATTTTCAGCTTTCAGCACTGTTGCACTTTGAATGACAATTGTGCAGTCATGCAACACAGTACCCATGTGAAATTTTTATAATTTTTTTAACACAAATAGAGCTTTCTTTTGGTGGTATTTACTCACCACTGGGTTTTTTTATTTTTTGTTTCTATTTTAAAAGTTTGCAAACAGGTACTTTTTCATCTTCACTGATGTGCATTGAAGAGGCTGCACTGATAGGCAGCACTGATGGGCACTGATGAGGCGGCACTGATGAAGCAGCACTGGCGGGCATTGATGAGGAGGCACTGATGATGCACTGATGGGCACTGATAGATGGTACTGATGGGCACTGATAGGCGACACTGACTGGTGGCACTGACTGATATCACTGACTGGAGGTACTGACATATGGCACTGACTGGCGGCACTGCTGGACACTGATGGGTGGCACTGCTGGGCACTGACGGGCAGCACTGCTGGGTGGCACTGCTGGGCGGCACTGTTGGGTACTGATGGTGACACCACTGGGCAGCACTGATAATCAGTGCCCTGATTATCAGTGCAGATCTTCCATGCCACATTTGCTGGTTATCGGCAGTACTTACCTCATGTAGTGACAGTGTGAGGAAAGTGCTGCCAATAACAGGCAAATGTATTTACATTGCAATCTGCTGTGTTATTGGACACAGCTGATCACGTGGTAAAAGGCAGCTGTGATTGGCCTTTTACCTAATCACGTGATCAGCTGTGTCCGTAGGACACAGCAATCACCAACAGCGCCGGGTGCGCACCGCTGGGGCACGTTCTGGGAGGTCGTCCATGTACGCCCTCCCAGAACTGGACAACCGTGCTGTAGCTGTCTTTCGGCTATAGCGTGGTTTGGAAGCGGTTTAATGCATGCGCTGCTAGTAATATGGAGTCATATCAGTACTTACTGAGCTCCAAATAGGGAAATTGTTAGTGCCTACTTGGCTGGTACCTCTATGACTGAAGTTGCCAAATTATTTGCCGTGTCACGAGGTTCAGTATCAAAGGTTATGACAGCATATCAGGGACGGACTGACCATTTGGAAACTCGGGCACTGCCCGAGGGCCCGGGGTCAGTAGGGGGCCCCATGAGATGCCCCTGGTACCTTTTTCATAGGCTTTTTTGAGTTTGGGCAAGGACACAGGGGCCCCATGATCCCCTATTGCCCGGGGCCCCATGAGTTGTCAGTCCGCCCCTGCAGCATATACAATTTCAGGGAAAAGGTCATCTGGTAAGCATAAGGATGGTCAACATGGTCAGCTGACCAAAAGAGACAAAAGGACATTGCACAGGATTGTGACCCAGAATAAGAAAAAAACTGCTGCAAAAATCACTGCAGAGCTCAATCTCAGTCCCGTTAAGACTGCAGTTGGACTCAAAAACCAATCAATTCCATATCACGTTTCGGAAAACATCTTTATTATTCTTAAATCTTTTCTCTTTAGCCTGCTTTGATTGCATTCTCAAAACTTCACAACTGAAACACCTTTCACACCTAAGCATTTTTACTCTTGAATGCCAAGTTAAAAAATGCCATTATTCTCAATTTCCACATTCACATCTAAGCACATTGCCGCTTATTGCCTGTTACGCGAAGTTGGAATAAGTACACATCTGTCCTCATCAGGAGTGGCAAAGTAAACTTCAGGACATGCAGCCTGTGCCTGATAAAGGTTATGTCTGCCTGATACCGATTTGGATACCACGTTTGTATTTCTTTCTGTAAACAACTTGGACTGTATTTGGACTCTGCATCTTCCTGCCATTCTCTATGACCATTATACCATCTTCTGACCTTGTTTCTCTACTGTCTGTCTCAACCATCCACCAGTTTGACTCTAATTTTGCTTCATGTTTGGGTACTATGCCTGATTCCACTAAAAGTTGACTTTCCTGGCTGGTGACACAGTGGGGTTATTTACTAAAACTGAAGAGGGAACATTTTTGAGCAGCTCTGCATAGAAAGCATTCAGCTTCCAGCTTTTATTGCCAAAGTTTAACTGAACAAGCTGAAGTACAAAACTTATTGTCTACCATGCACAGCTGCACCAGATTCTGAGTGCACCAGTTTTGGTAAATCTACCCCGGTGGGTCAGGAATTGAAGAAGCCTTGAGAAAGTGTACACTGGAGTAAGCCTTATCAAGGGTGAAAAAGATGCCTTCACATAACACAGTGACACCACTGGTATATAGCCATATAATATAAACTTTTCTTTTCACCAGTCAGCATTGTGACTTTGCTGCTTGGTTAAAATGCAAGAATAAACACAAATCTATTAAAATAAAAGCTAAAGAAACTAAAACAAGGTGGAGTTGTTGCACAAAACTGAGCACGTCATTTTCTTGCTCATTTTTTCAAAATCATGCAAGATGAAATCGGATTTGTCAGAGGGAAAATGCTTGGACTGTGCCCCTGTTTCGTTTCCTTAAACAGTCTATTACAGATGCTAGCAGACAAGTACTAGTGTTATTAGCTTTGGTTAACAAATGAGAAAATCTTCTCATATAAATAGAGCAAGATTGCATCATTCAGGTACAGGGAGTTGGCCATATACATGGAAGATGTTTCCTTAAGAAGAACAAGAGTGAAGATATTTGCTCATCCACTGTAGTACTGGATACTGCCACTGTTTCTTATGCCCAAAATTCCTTCTTGCCCACAGTTCAGCAAACCCTTGGATTAACATTTTATTAATTAAAATATTACAGTATTAAATTCCTGTGAAAGATTATTCACCTATTAAAAGAAATCTATGGTCAGAGCATACACTTTGTTTTTTTATAGCACTAGCATTGTGATAGCAATACAACCAATATTTTAACAATCTGATACAAACTTAACCTGTTGGTAATCAAATGTGCGGCCTCTCAGAGGCTGGGCCAAAAGTAAACTAACATGTGCCAATAGTGTGCGCCCTGCATGCTCCCGGTACATTCTACCCCGCCTCCTGGTGTCACAAACCCCTTAAAGGGCAGGGAGGCGCCAGCGCAAAGGGGTTAAAAAATACTATAAAAATTGAATTTTATGTTTTAAGTGTTGCCTGTCTGCTAGCCAGAACTTTCTGGATTCCTTGCATGCTTTTCAGCTTCTCCTCTGCTGTTTATTTTTAATGTCTAAGGACTACATACCCCATGGTACCTTGCTGCCTGCATGCAGTGATTCCTGTACTGAGTCTGCCTCTTGAAACTACTCCTCTCCACACCTCTGTAGTTCAGCAGGCAGGATCTGTGAATTCTGGGACACAGCAGTCCCTACTCACAGAACATAGTGAATTCATGTCACAGAATTTAAAGAAGTAAATGTGTGGGGATCTTCACAAAGTAAGTTCACAAACTTAAAGATCATTCAGATTAATAGGCTACAAATAATGGTGGAATTGAATTATATGACTTTAATTTGTGATATATATTTATATAAGCTTTACAATTTTTTTAGAGCTCTTACTGTACAGTGAAAAAAAAAACATTTCAGGATGATTTATTCCATAAATCCACTTCTTTTAAAGAACCATTTGAATTTTCAGTCACAAATAGTGGCCTCCTGCTTTTATGGCTGTTAAAATTAGTAGGATTTCAATCATCTCGAACCAGTCTTCCCATTCTTCTGTGACCTCTGAATCAACAAGGCATTTTAGTCCACCCAACTGCTGCTCACTGGTTATTTCTGTTTTTTGGACCATTCTCTGTAAACCCTAGAGATGGTTGTGCGTGAAAATCCCAGTAGATCAGCAGTTTTTGAAATACTCAGACCAGCCCGTCTGGCACCAACATCCATGCCTCTGGTTGATGCTCGGTTTGAACTTCAGCAAGTCACCTTCACCACGTCTAGATGCCTAAATGCATTGAGTTGCTGCCATGGGATTGGCTGATTAGAAATTCGTGTTGCTAAGCAATTGAACAGGTGTACCTAATAAAGTGGCTGGTGAGTGTAAATGGACTGCATAGGAAATATCCATAGGTCTTGAAATTAAATGCAGTATTAAAAAAATAAAACAAAGATTTTTATGTTTTATTTACTATGTTCAGAACTAAAAAAATCAAATGAAATGAAATAAACTTAAAGCAGAACTTTATTCCACCATGCAGTGGGGCCGTGCCCCCACTGCATAAGTCAACTGTTCATTTTTTCTATGGGTGAGCACAAAGATCATACTCAAACCGACCCACTGATCCTCCAGAAAACTGCACTCCCACTTGGCTCAGTGGTGGACTGTTCCTGTCTATTGATGCGTGCATTGAGCGAGCTGACAGGAACAGTTCATTTACAAGACCTCTGAACCACAGGGGGGCAGGAGCTGAAGGGACCAGTTTTTTGTGGGGCGCATTCGTGGGTCAAGTAACAAAATGAGTTAACCTGCACAATAAGTCAAATATAAAATACTGCAGATAAATATTTCATATTATTCATGTAACACCCTTCTTCAGGATGGTAAAGCGAGCACAAGACGGCAGTGCCCTGCAGAAGAGTGGCATTCACATTCTGTAGAACAGCCCCATGGAACTTGTATGCTGAACCGCAGGACTTTGATAAGTAGCAGTGTATCTAGGAATGACATTTCCCAGAGGAGCTGGTGTGTGGGCAGAGGGATATATATACGAAAGCCCAGGAGACTGAAGAGGGAGTGAGAGGGGAATGATTTAAAAGAGGAGGAGTGTGCCGACTGCCGGAGGACTGGACCAAGCCGTGGAATT